GGCGTGCCCCAGATGGACGGGGATGAAGCCAGTCCCTCATCATCATCTGGATATCCGTCTTCACCCTCCTCGTCTTCAGACCACTCCCTGGCTGTTTGCAGCTCGTACATCTCCGACTCCTCGTTTCCGCCTGGGAATAAGACAGAAAAAAAGTGGAGAGTAAATAAACAAAACTGTAAACACAGGAAGCAATTCACAACACAGTTCATTCAATGGAAGTAAACCTGGGATTTTGATTTTAATAAATAAATAGTTGAAAGTCAGTTGAAAGCACCCGTGTGTTATTTGATGTCTGGAGAAAAAGGTGTGTGACATCTAAAGAGAAAAACCTTCTTTGATTTGAGTACAAAAAACAGCCAGTTCCTCTCAAACCTGTGGATCTGGAGTTAAATGACAGAGGACAGTGTTTAGCTGGATTCATTTCAAAGACAGTTTGAAATCAAAGATGTGTCATAAAGCTTTCGAGGAATCTCTTGTTTTTTAAGTGTTTTGTGAGTGTGTGTTCATACCATCGGTGCACGGAGGCGTCGAGTCTGGAGTGGACGCCACAGAGCCATATTCCTCTGGAAGAAAGAACATTGTATTTGTGTTGTTGCGGCTTCCACTTAAAACAAACTCTTTCCTCCCACTGTCTCACATTCATCTTAATAGTGTGACTTAAAACATTCAAAGTAAATGATGAATAAGACAAAATCACCTTCATCATTTTCAAACTGACTGAATATGTCACAGAAAACTGTGGTCACTTAAATATTGTCAATGGCACAAATCAGCCAATGTAACACCTCAATACAAGATACTGTTTCATATCATTAACTAGAAAAGCCCTCATACCTCTGCCAAGACCCAGCAGTCTCCTTATGAAACCACATCTAAATTCACTTGATCTGGATTTTCATTGTGATCTGCACCAAATTGTACACACTCATAAATACCCATCTCCTTAACATGCCTGGTTTTCTTCATCAAAATCCCGGAATTATTCGTTGAAAATGCCTCATCTTCATATTTTATCAAGAGTGATAAAGAATTCCTAGATCTGGAACTTTATTGCACCATCATTAAATGGATGCCTCCTTGGCCCACGTCCCATCCTTTCAATACGTTTTTGGGAAATCCGTTCAGTTGTCACAAAGCCACAAACAAATGGACAGGGGTGTAAACATGACCTCTTTGCCAGCCCTTCTTTGCAGAGGTAATACAATAAAAACACTAAATAACACTGCAGTACCTTGTTCAGATTCGTGAACTGAGCTTTATGTGATTGAATAACTCACAGAAAACAGTAAAAGCATCATTGTAAATACTGTCAATAACCCAAATCAAGAAAAGTTACACCTCAAAACTATATAACTTGACATGCCATAAACATAAAACTAGTATTTAATAGTAATATATATCGTAAATATAATATACTATAGTAGTAAAGTATACGGACTACAGATCACAGGAACGGGACATGTTTAGTTGTACACAGGTCAGTGAATCTCCATCCAGAGCTAAAGTGGCAGGAGTAAAGGCCTACACAATATTAGATAGCCAAATGATATTAGCTAATGCATCAACCCAGGCTGAGCAATGAATGCAGCATTATCTGTACATTACATTATCTGTATATAAATAGGAACACATGCAAATACTCATATCACTGTCATTCAAATGTAGAGAATATCAGGTGAATGTTGTGGCAGAAAGATACAATTAAAAACAAGCATGAAAGAATAACAGAAGCCTAGAGGTTAGAAGAACTTGCATCATATAAATGCCTGCTTGCACAAATCCACGGAAAAATCTGCAAATCATCAACGAGCAGGTACGATGATTCTGCATCCGTCCGTTCAGCCAAGTGTTTATTAAAGGCTGAAGCAGGAGAGAGGGATGGAGAGGAGGCAGGAAGAGGAGAGAGGGGGGTGGGCTAGCAGCAGTTAGCAAGGAGAGATGATGAGCTGGAACATGCATGACGCTTGTGTAGTGAGATAAACCAATGCACAGTAGCAAACAGCAGGAAGAAGAATAAAAAAGCAGACTCACGGCAGTGGGAGAATCCTAAAACCTGGCCCATACTCCATCAAGGCATCGCTGGGCCCATCCAGTCTGGAAGACCCCCCCCTCCCTCCACTGCTGCCGGCAATCACACCCTGTGGATGCACACACTCCTTCTCTCTCTCCTCCTCCTCCCTCTGTTTCTTGGCCGTCTGTTGAGCAGCCTCCTCTCTCTCTCCTGCCCTCCGCTCTGTCACTCAGCAGCCCCGCCCTGCCTCGCTCCAGCATCCTCCCCCCTCCTCTTGCGCTTCAGCTGCTTGTATGTTGTGATGACTGCAGCGGTGGCGGTACTGTACGCTACAGCAGGAGAGAGAAAGAGAGAGAAGCATGAGTGGGTACCCGCTGTCTGTCTGAGCCGGTTGTCATCATCCATTCATGGTTTATCTTTGTCTGTCTCCCTCATCGTGTGATTTCATCTCTGGACCCTATAGGCTCAGGCTGTCAGAAAAGTAGCTATCATTAATAATGTATAATGTATATGAACATGAGTATATAAATACATACATATATTCCATCCTTACACGCATGTGAGGTTTGTCAGCTTTAATATCTTTTAGATTTACAATTCATTCTCCAAATTTCTATTGAATACATATTAATAATAATAAAAATAATACTAATAATAAATATTACAATCAATATCAAATTCATTATTAGATTGATGATAAAAGTTGGAGTATAAATAATGTAGACTCAACTAAAAGCTTTATTAATCACAGGAAGTGAGGCCTGTTATATCTTGTGGTCACGTCTGTACATTTATTGTTGTGATGTGTGTAATGTGTAGTAGGGTTTTATTATTGTCAATGTGCAGAATATGTGGGTTGTTCACTGGTTTAAAAATCTAAATAAAATACTCACAAACAAAAAGGGAGTGAGTCCTGTGCAGCAGTGAAACATAGGGGGCAGCAGTGTTCATCTGTAAAACTGATGCTGCTCCACTGGTTCATGATCTAAACTCACTGCCTCACAGTTCTATGATTCTACTGACCATTCAAGTGTCCACACTTATAAACAAAAACATTATAAAAGATATTAAAAAAACAAATGCAAATATTTTTTTGTGCATTTACTTTAAAATAAAAGTTCATACTGGCAAACATAAACACTGATACAGATCTCTGGAAAAGGTTATATTGGCCAACTGATAAATCAATAAGGCTTTTTTTTGGCACTGGCACATTCTAGAATTAATTAAAAGGAACAACAAAACATATTGAAAACATACAACATGGCCTCTCTTTTCACCATAACTTAAGTTGAAGTTTTTCAGAGTTGGTCTGGGAGAAGGAATGACTGAGCATGTCTGTGTCTAATTTGTTAGGAATTATATAAGTCTATTTATAGTTTTCACTACACATACAAGTGGTCAGAGAGAGACAGACTCTACCAGTCATCTGGTCACTGTATCACAAACAACTCTATACTCATGATAAATCAAGAGTCTTGGGGGAATGCACTTCCTGTACCATACTGCTTTCTGTGTGCACCAGGATAAATAAACATGGTTCATGTGAAACAGTTCTGGCAGAGACCATCATCAGCTGATAAATGGTTTAGACCTTCCTATAGCTGGATGGGAACAAACTTAATATAACACATATAGTCTTTAACACTATTAAATCAGAGTGGCTGCATGCAAACCAGGTCAGTGGCTTCAAATACACAGAAGTTAATGGGATAAAGACAAGGCACGCTGGGACCACAGGGAACCTACGAGTCACTGAACCAGTACAAGGCATCTTTGAGCTGACACACACCGGCACATGAGACAACTATAGAACAAACCTTATTTAACTCAGAGAATTTACTTTTTTCTTTGATCTATTCACTTAAAGCTTGCTTTTATGTTTTATTGTATTTATTTGTCTTTAATTAAGCTGGTATGTGCGTTTTAAATTTGCCCCTTTTATTCTTATTTATATTTTATAAGCACTTAAAATGTTCTTATAAAAAGAAAATCAACAATCATAATTCCTACTTTTTTAGATTTAATATATATATATATCAAAGGTACAGTATGTAGACGTTTGTGACATCTAGTGTTGAAGTTGCATGTTGCAGCTGAACACCCCTCACCCTCCCCTTCCAAACATGAAAAAGAACCTGTGGTAGACATCAGTTGTCGTAAAAACTCAAAAGGTGTTTAGTTTGTCCAGTGTGGACTAATGTAAAAAACATGGCGGTATTTGAATAAAAGCGGTAAAAAGGGTAAAAAAAAAAAAAATCATTCAATTTAGATGGAACAAACTAGTGAAATCATCATCAGGATTATTCTACATTACAATTCTGCCAATATATCCCTTTCACCTAAATCTTACACACTGGACCTTTACCAGTATATACTGTATGTCTATATAGAGTCCACTGACTGAGAGATCCCTCTGTGTCTGTGTTGTGTAAAGCGTTGAAGTCATAATCCCAGTAAGTGTGCAGACACAGGTCATGTAGGCAGCCTTGAAGGCCAGGTGATTATCCAGCAGAGTAGCACAGAGGGACAATCAGAGAGAGTGAAAGAGAGGGAGAGAGGGAAGTGGGGGCAGAGCAGAGGGATAAATCAACAGAAATAGATAGACCAATAGAAGAGCTGGGATGATACAGGAGGGCAACAGCAGAGAAGGAGGGAGACACATAATCAGAGAGTTAGACAGAGAAAGACATCTTATCCTCTTATTCTCAAAAACTAAAAAGGACAGAGGACAGATTCTCTGACACCACAAGCAGGCTGAGAGATTTAAAATGGCTGTGATCATTTTCAACAGAAAAATAAGTTTGAAGTTTTTTCTTTAACAGGATCATTCTTAGTTTAAGTTATCTCTGTTTACCTGCTGGAGTGACACAGCTTAACTGCTGCGCTGGACCTGCTGAGGAAAACACAGGGCCGGAGGAGAGGCACCAGGAAGAGACGGGCGGCCGCCAGGTCGAGCAGGAAGCTTGAGCACAGGCTGCGTGGAGCGATGAGGACAGCCAGGCGGGCGAGCAATGTGGAGGTGCCCTCTTTCCTCCGTCAGCTGGTCAAAGAGACCGAGAAGATGGTCACCTTCTTCTTCAAAGGAGGGTCCAGGGAGACGGGGTCTGGGGAGGAGGACAGTCTGGACGAGGAGGACTTCATGCCGAGCCCGTACCTGGACCATCCCATCCTCGAGAAGCATGTGTCAGAGGGGGGATCGCAGTCTGGGTTGAACTATGCTGTGGCGAGCATGCAGGGCTGGAGGGCACAGATGGAGGATGCACACACCTGCATGCCCCAGTTGAAGGGGGACCTGACAGAGTGGGGGTACTTTGCTGTTTTTGACGGACATGCCGGGACCACCGTGGCACAGTACTGCTCCAGAAACCTGCTGGATCACGTCCTGGCAACAGGTAGAGTACAATAATGGACCAATGAGATCAGTGTAATCAATGATGAGCACTGGATTTGCTATTAGTTATTAGTTGTGAGGGAATCACCTCTGAAATGAATGAATTGAAATGAAAAGCAGAAAATAAACTGAACAATAAATACTGTAAGTTTTGCTACTAATAATATTTTATGTGCTATACTCAAAATGAAACAAATAATGATTGACTATAATTAATTGAAGTAAAAAGATGTCTCTGCTTTAAGCACATGAAACAGACTTGATACATGATGAACAAGTCTGAATACGAGCAGATTAAATAAACTCACTACTGATATAAAGAGGAAATTACTACACAAACTTATCATGTCACAGTTTATATAATTAACTAACAGTTGATTACAATGAGAGTCATTTTCTAAATGAAAACAATATTGAGTTGCATTTTGCGTCAGAGAGCAACGTGATTAAGAGGACTCAGGGGGGCGGGATCAGAACAGAACTCAGCTGCTGACATTGATTCACTCATCAGGTTTCACATTTGACGTATTCAGGAGTGAGCTGAAAATCATCCGTCCATTATCTACACTGCTCATCCTTTTAAGGGTTGTGTGGAGCCGATCCCTGGTTGTCATTGGGCGAGAGGAAGGGTACATCCTGGAAAGAGACAGAATTAAAATTCAGATAAATAAACATGGGACACTGTTCGTGCTTTCTTAGATAAATAAATGTTAACTGAGGGAACATTTGGGTTTCTCTAACACGTGTCGGCCATGTTATTGCACTGAGCCACAGTTACTCCAACAATCTGACCCCAGCACAATACCCCTAGATCATATTTTCCATGTACATTGACCACAAAACCAACATGGCGGTGCCAATAACTACAGTCTGTGTGTAAAATCCGTCTTAAAACCGAATGCCGCCCCCCATGTTCCACAGGTGGGGTTAAAGCAAGCGAGGACTCTGAGCAGGTGAAGGACGGGATCCGTGAGGGCTTCCTGGACATCGATCGTCACATGCACAAACTGGCTCGCCAGGACAACTGGGATCGTAGCGGCTCCACTGCGGCGGCCGTCATGATCTCACCACGTTTCGTTTACTTTATCAACTGTGGGGACTCGCGCACTCTGCTCTGCCGCAACAGTCAGGTGGTCTTCTACACAGAGGACCACAAGCCGTTCAATCCCAGGGAAAAGGAGCGGATCCAGAACGCCGGAGGCTCAGTGACCCTGCAGAGAGTCAATGGCTCGCTGGCCGTTTCCAGGGCACTGGGGGACTTTGACTTCAAGGAGGTGGACTGGAGGCCGCAGACTGAGCAGCTAGTGTCGCCGGAGCCGGAGGTGTACGAGCTGGAGAGGACGCCTGAAGACGAGTTCCTAATCCTGGCATGTGATGGCGTGTGGGACGCCATCGGTAATGAGGAATTGTGTGCCTTTGTGCACAACCGTCTGCAGGTGTGCGATGACCTGAGAGAGATTTGTACCCAAGTCATTGACCTCTGCCTTTATAAGGTGAGACATTTGGCCACAGAACGCTGATGAAATAAGGTGCATGAATAAGAATTATCAGGAATAAAAGACAAAGGTTTGATAAAAACAATCTGAAACTGACAGATACATTCAAACATCGGTTTGGTTAATGATTTAAAAAACAGAGAAACATTCACTCAGATTTGGTTTTTCAACGTTGCACCAGGAAAAAGGGAAAGTAAACTGAAAATAAATTGGAAAACTGCAAATGGTTGAGGAAGAAAAACATCAGACAGAAACCTATGATTTACCACAGTTCCTCCAGCATCAAGGCAACTGAATGAGTTTCATTATTACCATGAGTTGGCATGGATATCTTTTCTAGACCAAGTTCTAATCTTCTGTTCCCATTCCTGCAAATAGTTATTCATTTCAACAGACTGAATTTTTGAATGATAACTCTTGTCTAGGTACGCGCATTTATAGAGTTTCATCCAAACAACAACACATTAAAGAAATCAGGAATATCTCAAAGAAGTCCAAACATAACTCTGATGCCAGCTTTTATAACAGTTTTCAATTCTTTTTAATTAAGACATAATAAAGCTGCTAACAAAAAAGCAGAGTTTAATAATTTGTTGATTAATTAAATCAAATTTGTGATTTGGATCTGCAATTTTGATCATCAATAATTAATATAATCAGGTTCCAGAAACATGTTCCAACTTTTTAAATGTAAAGATTTGCAAATTTTTCTATAATAATACATATTTTGGGTTGAGATTAGCGATTTAAAGCAGTCAACTTTTTCAGTCAATCAAGACAATAATCAGTAAATTATCAATAATGACAACAAATATTTGGGGATGACCCCAACTACTAATCATAACAAATGTGGGGAAAGCAGGGTGAAACTATATGAAATATCTTAATTGTATGTACAGATTGATAGAGAAACAAATAGAAAAGCCCCCTGTGAATACTTTGTGAATATACTTAAATATTTTTAAAGCAACTTCTAGTTCTTAATTCTCACAGATTACTGTCCAGTGAATTTACATTGAGATACTTAATTCCTGTGCACGTGTTTTCATGTCTTAGCTCAGCAGAACTCCCTCTGTTTTCAGACTCAGCTCATTGGACTGTGCTGTAGCAGACACGGTGGATTTATGAATGGGAAGCTTTACATTAAAGTGGGAGTGTAGAGGGCTGGGTCTCCGTGAGGAAGAATTACACTGAGGTTGTTACGCAAGATCTCTCCTGTCTTCTTAATGCTTGTTGGGAACCGTCTGTCTATAAATAAGTGTATTAAGGCATCCTGGGACATGGGATGTGAGGGAGGTGCATCTACACATGGCTCGGATTAGGACTGAGTGAGCTCAACACACAGCAGCTCAGAGGTGTTAACCTGGCTGCTATTTATTTCACCTAGGCTTAAAGCCTCTGCTGAAAGACTGCATGTCCCAGTACATGATGCACCTCTCTGTTCGCATTTGGGATGTAATAACCAATGTACTGATGGTTGAAACACTGCAGTGACTTCCTTAAAGGCCATAGGACAGTGCTGGATTTTTAAACTGAAGCTAATATTGATAGCCAAGAGCAGATAAACTTTTAAATTGGAATTCTTTGCTACTTCTCTCTGACATACACACACTTACACAGATATATCTGTGAAAACGTATTTATTATGTGGCTCAACTTCACAGGTGCACTTTCCCAAAGCCACAATGTCTTTATAAATTTGGACAGTCATTACCTTCTATAAATACTTCACTGCGATGTCAGAGGAGATTATTACGTCATACAAACTCTGTTTATATGATTCAGTACAAGATGATCCACTTATAAAGTCAAACAAAATACAACCTCATCCACAGAGCTCAGCACGCTGAGAATTAACAGGTCTATTTCATGTGATTTCATGCAGGAGTAGAAATATGAAGTTAAAGTACCAATGCTTTAGTGCGAGAGTAATAGTTATTATTCAGGAAGAATAGCCCAATTATTATTTATTAATATTAATTCATTGAATATAAGTAGATTGTTGGAAAATAATAATAATATTAATAATAAGTGGAGCATTTTTCTTAAAAGTTACATAGTGCTTCACAAGAAGATATAAATAAAACAATAAAATTAAATAAATATTAAACAAAAAGTGTAATAAAAGTAAAAGAAATAAATCAAAACTCACCCCAATATGTCAGCATTTTGTAAAAGAACGTTTTAAAAAGATATTTAAAAGTAATACCAGATGCAGCACTTCTGATTACGGCAGGTAAGTCATAAGTTTGGGGGCTCGTACTGCACTAACATGGCAGAGTCATGAGGGAGTTAATCCTTGACATACACAGTCATTACTGACTTAACTTAGAGGCAACATTTCAATGCAACAACTGGTTGAGTGCAGAAAATGTAAACTTTTTATATTTAAATATATATGATGTGCAATTTATACCCTCATTATGTAAAGAAAAGTAAGGGAAGGGAAGTGAGGGAAAACAGCAGTCTCACTACTTCTATTGAAACCTGTAGGACTGATCCTGTGTCTCCCTCCTCAGGGCAGCTTGGACAACATGAGCATCATCATCATCTGTTTCCCTGGCGCCCCCCAGGTGTCACAAGAGGCACTGAAGCAGGAGGCAGCGCTCGAGCAACACATTGATATGAAAGTGGAAGGTAAGATATTTGAAATGTCCAGCACAAAACACACTGCCCTCTGTTTGATGCCATTCCCTAAAATGATATTGTTTTGACTCTGTCTTCACAGAAATTATCCGGATGATGAGGTCCAGAGATGAGGACCCTGACCTTCTTTATGTGATCAAATTCCTGGCAGCGGAGGAGATGCCAGGACTTCCACCAGGAGGTGGCATCACCAGCAAGTGAGTCTGATCAATCGCCCGAAAAATACACAGATGTTTTATCATGGAGAAATCAAAGGCGAACCCTGTGTAATGTGCTGCCACTGTTTCTTTCTTTGCAGACGAGAATGTATTATCGCTGCGTATCAGAAACATATCCTGACTGTTAAAGCCCAGGAGCCTATGGTAAGATACACTTCATTCAATCACCATATAATAAGAATTATTATTATTAAACACAAATTGTTTGGCAGAGTTTTAAGGGATAAATAATGTATCTCTAGAAAATAACTAAACTTTTATCTGCTGATTAATTTCTTCACTAAACAATTATTTATCATTAGAGCTGAAACGATACATTGGTTGATCGACAGAACAATTTTAAAACCATTTTAAAATGTATGAAAAATATGTTCCACATATTTAAGATGAAGCAAAGCTACAAATCAACACATTTAAGGAGACAGAAGAATTAATATTTGGCATTCTTATTTAAATTCTACACTTTTTAGAACTTCTACCTATTGTAAGTGTATACTAACATTAGGTGGCACCCAAACTTCTTAAACGTGCTTTTTAAACATACATGCTACATGTTATTATATTATATTATATCCTCCTAAAACATGAACTTATATGAAGAAAGTTCAGGAGTTTTAATAACAGCTACATAGGGTCTTGTTGTCTTGTAATATTTCAGGACATCGAAGGATCGGAGGAGGACTCAAGCTAAGTCCGCTACCGTGAAAACAGACTCATCACCGGCTTCACCATCTCCCGGAGACCAGTTTAGACCCCATGTTCATTTTAGAAGAGCAGTAAGCAAATGCAAAGTCTTCATGTAATATATTTTCTTTGAGTATTTGCTTTCTGATGAATTAAAGTATGATTTAAGTGAAAACCTGCTGTTGTCGTTTTTGATAATAGTTTACTATTACAGAAAGAGACAGATGGATATTTATTACATGCTTTCTGTATGAGGCAGCTCCTTGACATTACTGTGTGATACTGTATACAAACTGTAAATATGAAAATCTAATGAGCTGACACTCCCTGTGCAACATGCAAACACCAAAATAGCATCAGAAAAAAAACTTGGTCTTGCTTTATGTGGCCCACACGTGGACTTCATGTGTATCAGAGTCTCATGATGGAACACAGGGTCTCTCAGTAAATATTTAGTTTGCACAACGCTGCCAAGGAGCAAAGGTGACATGGACGACAATGACGTGTTATAAAAACATAAATGTTTGCCATGAGAGAAGAAAGCCAGAGGGAGAGACACAAAAGAATGTAGAGAGGGTTGAAGAGGGAGATACCAGTGGGGGTGAGGGTGTAATAAGGGGAAATGGAAGAGTTATTCCCAGGAATTAGCACCCACAGCTCATTAAACTTGCACCCGACGACACTTTAGAGTGGACGTGTGATGTGCTGCATCGCCATGTGATTTAAACGTTGTTCCCCTGCAGATCTGTTCAGCCGGATAAAGCTCACTGATACGTTTGTTCCACGAATAATAATTTAAAACAATAGATAGATCTTGAAATGAATCCTTTATGCCATCACCAGTGTTTTTTTTCATCAATCTTTCTTTTTACAACATTACGTTTGTGATATTTAGAGCCACTTATTTGGAAAAAAGAATATGTGTTGTTGAGATGTATACTGGCTTCGCTGATCATTACACAACAGTAACTGTAAAATGGCTGTGAGATTATGTTTTTCTTCATTAAAAAATACTTGCAGATGTATTTTTTAAAAATAATTTCAGGTCTTGATTCAGCTTTGTTTCGTTTTTTTATGAAATTAATGAACAGTTGTTTTGCTTATAATGATAAGCTATATAAGCTAAATAAAAAGCTAAAATGATAAAAACTTGATCATTGTTTGGCTCTCTATAAATCTGCACATATGTATTTGAATGTAAGAGTCTGCACTTCATTCAAAGCACCATTAAGTGTGTGTGACATTTAGGGGGAACCAAAATATGACTTAAATGCAAACTTCAAACACGCACATGCAAACACATCACTGTCAATACAGTTCAAAGTCAAAACTACCACATGAGGGTCTTTATGGGGCTCTTGTCATGGGTTCTTCAGAATGTGTTGCGAGTGTATGGTGAGGCTCAGCACCTCTGTCTTAACTCTCAAAGCAGAGCTTTTATTGGACAGTGTCCTTCTCACCTCCACACTCTTGACAAGTCAGATCACTCAAATATTCAACGGAGACAGCGCTGCTCTGGAAACGCTTGTGGAGAAAGTTAAAGAAGAAGTGGAGTCGGAAAAGAAGAAGAAAAAAAGGACAAGAGGCGAAGACAAGAAAAAGTAAGTTTGTCTTTGGGAAGAATTTAGACGAGCAAGCAACCTGTGAGCTGTTTAGTTGTCAGTGGTTGTTAGAAGGCCCCTAAACTAACAACTGCTGTCGGTTGAAAACCTTTTAAAACCTGCAAACCTTTTAAAGGAACAATACTAACAGAAATAACTTTGTTTTGGTTCATTGATGGAGGCAGTTTTGGCATTTTCATCTAATGTTTTGTGAGTCTAATTTACTGACACATCCAAATCCAGACTTTAAATTCATTATGTTCCCGAAATAGTCTTTTTTAACAGGAGCTTAATACAATGAAAGTAATCATTATGAAATTATAAGGAATATGAAAACACACACTAGCTGCCGACTGACATATTGGCTCATATGAGCCTTTTACAGACATATCAGAGATGATATCTTTTATTTTGCAGATGAACAATGCAGAAAAGATGCATATGAGAATTCTAAAACACTTTGATACAAAAGATGCATAAGTCTGACATGGTGGGCTACTATACTGATGATCTGTCACTCATATATATATATATACATTTATTTACACACACTGGTTCATCAGCACCATGTCGGACGTGCATGAGGGTTTGATGTGGGGTAGTTGGATCACTCTTAATGTAAAGGAACAACAGCTTGGAGACGGATCACTTTCTGAGCAGCACTTTACTCTTCTCCACAATGGTCATCTACATCTACAACACACACTTCCTGCTTCTCACACTCATGGCACTGGACTAACCAATAAGAAGCCAGACAGGTCTCAGCCTAAGGTGCGTGTGAAAGAACTACAGAGGCAGATTCCACACATCCTAACTGTTCTTATGATGCTGATGTAAATATTTAAATATGTCAACAGCTTCACTGTGAACATTATAAACATATTTTTGTAAATAAGCATTAGCACATGAGCGAACTTAAATTTTGATCGAATAACATGATTGAGATATTTCAGATAATACACTTGGCTCCTCTCATTCTACTTGCACAGTATTTCTGTCTGAAAGACACTGAAATGATTTCAGGCCCAACCTGAGACCAATCAGCCAATCAGAGGCCAGTATGAGGCAGTCAGCTGACCTGTATCATGCCAGAGCATCAGGTGCTGTAACCACGTGTGTGAGTCAGGACACTGTGATGGCAGAGCAGCTCAGTGAGAGAGGCAGCAGCTGGTCACATCTGTAGGCCTGAACATGGAGCACCCAGAGGAGACAGACGCCCTGGTACACGCACAACTCTCTGCCTGCTTCCACAAACTCAAATAAAACCACCTCACCTCTGTCATGTCTCACCTGCAGACGGACAGGATGCCGCTGGACGCAGGAGACACCGGGTACGGCAGCGTTATGGGCCCCGGCCTGTCGGGCGGTGTGGGCGGCTCGGAGACGGCGCCGCTGCTCATCCCGGAGCCGGAGCCGGAGCCGACGGTGCGGTGGCAGCCCCTGACCAAGGCGGAGCTGGAGGCCGCGGCAGGTGGCCCGTGGTGGAGGAGGCTGCGCTGCTACTTGGTCTTTCTGTTCTGGATGGCCTGGCTCGCCATACTCGCCACGTCCATCGCCATCATAGTGACGAGTCCCCGGCCTGTGGCCACTCCGCTGCAGTGGTGGCAGAAGTGTGTGTTCTACCAGCTGCAGCCCAACATGGAGGCGGTGGGGTCAGAGGGCATCACCGGTGAGGAGACCAGGTTTCAAAAAAAGTTCATGTAGAGTAAAAAAACTGGTCAATGCACATTTCAAGATGTCACTACGAAGACAGCATATAAATCAGACATGAATATATAAAATACAAGAGTAGTTTAGTTCAGACTCAGGTTCATATTTATATATTTAGGAAAAAAATTAAATTAATAAATGACAAATCCACAGGGATCAATCAACATTTAAAGACTTGTTCCTCCAGCAGCAAGATGATAAGTAAGTTAATTTCATAAGACAGACAAAACATTAAAATAGACTAAAAGAAAGAATAGAGGGCATATATTATTTTTACACATCTTAGTTCTGTTTATGTAATTTATAGAAAAATTAATTGCATTCATGAATTTGCGTCTTTCAATAAACTGTTTCGCCACAATTTGAGGAAACATTTGAATCATTAAAAAACATTCAGATTTTACTTTTGCTTAAGCCTACAAGCAGCGTGTGCAGCTACATTTCTTACATCTTTAAAGGTCCTTGTGATGTTTTCACTGGTGTGTAATATCACATTATCACACTGCAAAGTGATGGGCACACAATTGCAACAAATGATTAAAGACATTACAGAAGCACAGATTTGTAAGATAAAATGACCTGCTTGTGTTTTCTGACCTCAGTTCTGCAGAACTATGTGTGTGAATGTGAGTGTAAATGTTTGTCTCTGACGTTGGGCCCTGTGATACGCTTGTGACCTGTAGGGACTGGCTCCAGCCCCCACTACAACCCTTAACAGATAAGCAATATAGCTAATTGAATGGATACATGGGTAAATATCAATAACTCTGCAATGTCTTCTGTCTCAAGCACTGTGTGAGCAGCTTCCTTACCTCAGGTCCCTGGGTATAGGAGCTCTAATCCTGGAGGGCCTGTTCCATAAAGAGGCGTCTCCTTTAAACGTCACTGCGACCGATGGAAGTTTAGGGACGTTGCCTCAGATCCAACATCTGCTCATAGAGAGCAACAAAGCAGGTGAGCAAAGCAACAACGTGCATATGTTGACTCAGAAGGTTCTTCCTGCCTTATTTTAGGATTAATGTTTTGTTTTTCTTACTGGATTTGCAGGTCTCAAAGTGGTGTTAGACTTCTGTAAAGTGGATCTATATGGAGCAGGAAATAAACCACCAAACCTCTCAGCCACAGTCGAGGTGAAACCCATTCTCTGCTCAGGCTACAAATGTTTAGTTCTCAGACATGCTGGATTTCTAAAACATGACCTCATTATTTCCACAGAATTCACTGCGGTTCTGGTTGGAGCAGGGTGTGGCAGGTTTTGCCATCTGTGATACAGATGCAGCATATTCAGAAAAGGTCAACTGATTCATTAATGTCTTTGGACTTTCTTACAAGCAGCAGTATTTCCAATCAAATATTTACATTTCAGATTCTGCTGGAGTGGAGAGGTGTCCTCAGGCAGTTTAGCACGAAGGAAGAGGAGGAGAGGTATTGTGCGTGTGCAGATGTGGACAGATGTGTTACGCTTAAATGACGAGGTAATTGTAACTGTGCATCTCTGCAGGATTGTGGTGGTGAAACAAACGCAAGACATCCTGCCAGCTCTGAACAACTCCGACCAGAGAAACACAACATTGGTAGATGTGGTCATGAGGTCAATTCTGCCATTGTCGCTTCAGCCCCTTTCTGCACAGGAAGTAGCCCACGCTATAGAGACACATCTGCTAACAAAAGAAGAGGATACATGGCCGAGCTGGACAGTAAGACATATGCATTATACAGTCAGTGTGCAGTGTATTAGGTACACCTAGCTGATACTAATGCAGCGCAACACAAGAATACAATAGTCTAACGTTGAGTTATTATTGGTGATCATTTTGAATGATGTATTCTGAGGTGAAGTTGAACTGCACTATGATGTGAAGTTCCTATTATTCCGTCCAACCTAGCCAAATCAATGAAGGGAGGCTAAACTCTTTACATGTTGCAAAACAGTATAATGGCGATTAAGTTCATTATCGAATAATCTGATTACTTAATTGAAACTGCAATGTATTTCTGCAGATTGGAGGAGAAGCGTCTCATGAGCTGAAGAATTTACTCCTGGTGTTGATGATGACTCTGCCAGGATCACCCACAGTCAAGTATGATGAAGACATTGACCAAACACAGGTAAACAAACAAACAAAGAAACACACACCATTTCAAAAGTTGCTGATACCAAATCAAAGCTTTCTGCCACAGAATACGTCTCTGAACATTGGCTCATCACAAGGACAGAAGAATGAACCATCAGACACCCATACAGTGAGTAATAAAACCAGCATTCCCTCTACAAATACCCAAATAAGTCTTATCTGCTCGGACTTGTTAAACAAATGAGTCATAGAAAGCTCTACTTGGAGAAACAAAGGATTAGTTGAGGTAATATTTAACTTTCTGACACTTGTCTCTACCATCTCTCTCTCAGGATAAGGAGAAGGCAAGGCGTGCAGCTGTGGCTCTCTTTACTTCCCTCAGTCACTCCAGAGCCAGAGAGGAAGCTCTTCTGTACGGCAGCTTCACCTTCCTCCCCTTCAACACCTCCATTAACTCTTCCTCGTCATCCTCCTCCAACTCCACTCTAGCCTCTCCTTCATCTCCCACCATCCTGGCGTTCCTGCGCTCCTGGGGCTGCGTCCATTTCCTTGTTCTGCTCAACCTTGGGCCTGAGATTCACGGTCTGGATCCAGCCTGGGCCCCGAGTCTGCCTGAGGCCGGAGTGTTTGTGTCCAGCACAGGAATGAACCGCCTGGGGTCCACGTCGCTGTACACGCTGGAACTGCAGCCCCACGAGGCCATCGTCATCAAACTGTTTGAGGGAGGAAGTTACTCGTAAATCTCTGGCGGGTGTGTGGAGATATTGGTGCTGGGAGTTTTCTTTTTACAAAATAGGTTCTCATTGCCAGAGATACATGAAAATAAAATAGTGAACTTCTATTCTGTGTTTTGCATTATTTCTTATATTCACAGCATGGATCACATTTGTGCTGGCACAATATCTATCTGTTAAGCACAGTAGTAAAGACAAAGCCACAACTCCAGAGGTTATAATACTTTCCTCCTAAGTCACCATAGCTGTCTGTATAATATCTGAGAAACTATAAAATGTTATGGTTAATTTAAAACAATGATAACAGCATTATTTTGGACAGCACTTCTTGAAAAGGTTTAAAAAAACAATACAATTAAACAAACTTAAATTAGTCATTAAATATCATTTAAACACAAAAACATTCACCCAGAGAGGAAGGCTTTCTTTAAAAAAACTCTTTAGGGGGATTTTTAGAGGGACTTTTAAAGCAGTAACAGATGTAGCTGATCTCAACTAGTAAGTCATTCCAGAGTTTGCAGGCTTGCACTGCAAAAGCACGAAAGCCCCCAGTCGCCAATCAGGCTCTGGGAAGCACCGGAAGACAAAAAGCTAATCTAAGATGGCGTGCCGCATGACAGGGAGTCAAGAAACCCTTGATGTTCACAGGGGCTTGGTTGTGTAAAGCTTTAAAAATCATTATTGTTAACATGTGGCCTGTGTAAAAAAGTGAAAACCCTCTGCAGTGGTACTGCAGTCACTTACTTGGGGCAATGTTTTGTTCTCATTTCTCTGCAAATTAACCTTAACAGTGATTTACAGATTTTTTTATGACTGACAAGATATGGCATAGGAATACTTAAATGAATGAAAAAAATAAAATAAAGCTTGCGATGGAAAATACTTTCTATATTTATTTATTAAAACATACATTTTTTGTCCTTCATACTGTTATTGAAGAGTAATTCTTATGGTGTAACTTTAGTAGGTGTACATTGGGTTACCACACAGTGGCGCCACAGCAATGCTCTCTGGTCTGTTGCTCTGACAAGCTCTAAACTTGTGACTAGGATGTCAATATTTAAATAATCAAAACCAATACATAAAAATATACAGTCTACATAAGCTGTCATCACTGAGCTCTTGAATTTTTAATTGCTAATATTCAACATAATTTTTATTTGAATAGATCTCCATATTTCGCACACGAACATGTCATTTGAATTGTAAATATTTACCTGTATTAAACCCTTAAGCATTTTAATGCCATGAATCACATCTGTCATTATTTGAACATGTGAAGTTTTTAAAATGAACAATCCTACTTCTCAAAGAACGACATTGGCTGCCATCGTGTCGGTTGTTCGAGGAATTATTTCTTAATAAAAAATATTTTGCTCACCTAACAAAACTCAACAATTACACACTATGTTTACTGTTTTTCATTTCCATAATGGTGAGCATAAAAACACAAACCAATGTACGTTCCCCTTTGTATGTCAAAATGTCATTTGCAAAGTAATTCAACAGTAAATTTTTCTCTAAGTTTTCTTTCACTTTGACAACTTTTGCTTTCATCTGAAACAAATATAGTTTTGATGCAACATGATGAACTCAGAACTGTTTCATAGAAATAACATCAACACTCTGGTAAATGTCATACAAAGTTGTTTTTCTTTTAATATTTTATTTTACATGAAAAAAATGTGTATCATACTGTTTTCAATAAAATGCATTTTTTTAAATATTTCAATGGATACAAATCTCAAAAATGTATACCCCCGAGAACAAAATGTGCAAGTGATAAATATCTGATTCATGCCGGGTCACGCGTGACTGAGCGTCGAAGACTATAAGCGCAACACATCTGGAAAAAGTGAAATCACCATATCTGTGGTCACCATTATCTTGACACTCTACTGAATAAACAAACACAATCATGAGGATGTACAACAGCAAGGTGAAAACGCATAAATACATTCATACATCTAAATGCAGTTACAGAATTGGTCACAACAACAAAAGATTCATTCTCAGTGCATTTTGCAGCAGCAGTTTCTTTTTTCTTGAAAGCAAGTGGCTATTAAAAGAACATTCACAGACTATCATCATAGGTAGCTTAGAAATCAGTGAGGTGGAATATCCAATGTTCATGCAATACAATATCATGAGCTGGACACAAACAGGAATTTAGTTTGAGACTTAAGTCGTCATTTAAACCTGAATAACTCAAATCTCAGACACAATTTGATAAAGTCCTGAATCAAGGACTAAAGGACAGAGGTTATTATTTCAAAAGATACAGGCCAACATCTTCAGAGACTGAATCTTTCAATTGAGACAGATAAACTCCTTATAATTGACAGGCAATAATTGATTGTATGTATTCACATTTGTTTTTCATAGTGGCAGTCTGTGTTGCAGGTGGAAGTGTGGGCAGTAAAAGGTTAATTCTGTCTGTCAGGGTGAATCTTGATTATTTGGTCTGTTTCAGCAAAAAGCAATCAGCACAGCTGGAACCGAAACTCGGAGAGATTAAGATCTGCATTTAATAAAAAATGCTTTTTACAAACACAGGTGCAATTTGCGATGGCAGTGTTTCTCCGTCAGTTCACCCATGTGGGTCAAGACTGTTTGACGGCCCCTGATATTCATGTTCCTGGGAAAACGAAGATTAGCACTGACTCTTGGTGACCTCCTGACCTTTCATCTAATGCATCAAATGCATGAGGTTGACATTTTGGATTTTGACTGAAAGGTTTTAACATATAATGCGCAGAGATCTGGTACATTGATATGGGGATCTACTTATTGAGGTAACTTTAACCTCATAACCTTTCATTTAGCACCATCCTCAGTTTAAATGGATTTACATGCATCCATTCCATTGGTTCATAACGTACCTCCAGTGGTCAACATTCCCATCAGACTCATCTATACTTGTGTTTACTGCTAATTAATATTTGTTAGTATGTAAGCACACTAAAGTAATGGTGAGCATTGTCAACATCGTACCTGGTAGATACATAGACTCTTGAGATGGACGCCATGAAAATTCCCCCAAAGTGAAGCCAAATCTGGATTGCCACTTGGTGGCTGGCTGTAATATAGATTTAAAAAGCCTCTTCTACTAATAAATTACATTACATTTCATTTAGTTGATGCTTTTATCCAAATAGAGTTACAATAAGTGCATTTAACCATGAGGGCACAAACCCAGAACAGCAAGAATCAAGGAAGTACAATTTGTTTCCAAATAGCCAAACTACACATGCTACATGTAAGTGCCATAAGTGCAACTAAACATCATCTTCTTAACCAAGGTGTAGTCGTTAGAAATGTGTCTTTAGTCTGTGGCGGAAGATATGAAGACTTTCTGATGTCCTGATGTCAATGGGGAGCTCGTTCCACGGAGCCAGGACAGCAAACAGTTGTGATTTTGTTGAGTGGCTAGCTGTCCCTCGCAGTGAGGGAGCAGCATGTCGATTGGGGGATGCAGAGAGGATGGGTTGGGGTGTAAGGTTTGACTATATCCTGGATGTAGACTGGGCCCAATCCGTTCACAGCACGATATGCAAGTACTAGTGTCTTGAAACGGATGCGGGCAGCCACTGGTAACCAGTGAAGAGAGCGGAGGGGCGGAGTAGTGTAAGGGGAGCAGAGTGGACATGGACCAAACAAAAAAGTCAAAGAACACATCAGATAAATGTTTCATTTTAGGTAGTTTTCGTCACACTGATGTTTGTGTTTAATTTTGCAGTTGGTTTGGTTTTATTTAGTTATTTGATGCAGTAAAATGGTGTAAAACAGCTGAGACAGTAGCAGCTTTACCTCGCTACTCAACTCTAGATCCAAAATGTGCAAGATGGCATGGTTCATATCCAGGATATTTTGGCTTCATTTTTGAAATAATGGAGGAAGTGGAGACATGTCATCCATCGTACAGTCTATTTCTCAACATCAGCATATTATGTTCAGACGCTAATCAATAAGTAAAAACTTAACAAGGGCCTCTAGCATTGCTGCAGACGTTTAGTCTAGCTCAGACATACTAATGGATGCTAATGGCTGGATTTTTACTGACTGGTCTGATGAAATGGTTAACATGTCATGATGACTGGTACTGAAATAAGCTGCTGGTCATCAAAGATGCTGTAGATGTGAGTCCATCATCCTGGAGTCACCTGGCTTTGTCCTAAAGAAAAGGCTGACTGATAGAGAGAAAAAAGAGGACAGTATGCATGCATATTTTTTACCCAGAGAGCTTTACCCAAGTGCATATAGGCTAATTTTACAGTTTATGATTCATAGGCATGATATGGTTTGACATGTTCCTTAGTGATAAGTAACAGTGCTGTTTGTTTAATGGAACAACTGTCCCAACAACTTTAAAACAGTTTTCATCAGTCAGAGGAATATTGAACACCTTGTGCAATATTTTCTCCTTTTCTCCAATGTCAGTACAAGGAGAGACTGTAACGTTTATGAACTTCCTTGTGAAAATGCCATTTCACAAAATTGTCCCGATGTATTTCGAATTTGAAAGTCCCCCCCAGCTGAGGATTTCTGTCACAGAGGTAAACTGGAGTATGCGGACTGTGAAACTGTCACATCTGGGGGGTTGTGCTGTATGTGATTGTCAAGGGGTAAAGACAGAGCGCAGTGTGCTGTTGTCTTCACGGCTCCTCTGCTGAAGCAGCAGTTCAGCAGTGAGCAAAGGTGGTGAAACACAGACTTGCGGCAGATGATGAAGACCCATGGATCCACGATGGGGTTGAGGGCGTAGAAGCGGAAGGCCGTGAGGTTCTCCTTGTCGCCGGGAAACGGGTGAATGGCGTTGATGAAGCCTGCAATCTGAAGAAAGAGAGGGTCAAGATTAGTCTTTACTATTACTAGGTTACAAATATAAAGTAAATACTAGAAAAGTTGTGCCCAACGTTGTAATTTGGAAGCATGGAGCATTTATTTTCTCAATTATTTACTTTACCAACTTTTTCAGTCCCCAGCCACCCACAGCCGAAATAAGAGAGGAGAACAAATGATGAAAATCTCAATGTGCTCATTTGACCCACTTGAAGTTTATTATCACGCTGCGGCCTGGGAATTTACCCTTTGGTTTGTCTCCTAAACTGCAAACAGGCTACTGGAAGAGATTGCTGTTTTAATCTGTATTTTGGCTACTGGTTAATATTGTGCTTAAAATAAGCTTGAAAGGAACATCTGTCATAATCACAAAAATAATTGATGCAGCAAAGCATCACATTCTCTATTTACTGATATTTGTAGCTTTTTGGTGACTGTTTGCTACATTTGCTATTATATTGATCATTTCATGGATCAAACAGTAGATTAAACATAAACCAAGATTACACATTGCGTTTGCTGGATGGAGCATCAAAGCAAATTTAAAAAAGGAGAACATGATGGATGCTGTTGTTTTAAAACAAGATAAGAACACGAGACTGTTTGTCAAGTGTGGTTCATCTTGTAATAAGATTAAGCAAATGTCAACATCCATCTCTGTAGCAGCCTTTAGTTTTCAGATGAACAAAATGTCCAGAGTACAAATGCAGTCAAAACCACACAACAAAACCACAACTTTTTTTCTGTGATGACCTTTAAGATATGACAGACTGCAGAGAGCTGGTGCAGAGAGCTGGTGCAGACAGCGGCAGTTGGCAGCAAATTCATCCTGGGCAGAGAAAGAAGGAGCAGCTGGCCCAGAAAGCATCTCTGTCACCTCGCTCATCTTCTCTATCAACAATTCTCCATTTCCTTAATGAAATATCCAACAAACAGTGGCCTAATTAATGCCTTGTGCTGACTGAGTGCTTTTGTGCATTGGTGTAAATGTTTCCCTGTTGCTAGGCCCAGGGCTGAAAACGAAGAGGCTGGAGAGACATTAAGCAGGGGCCAGAGGGAGCAAGTCCAGAACCAGGCTTAACCAAACTACCAGAGGTACCAGACACGAGGCTATGTCTTCTGCATGCTTGTTAACTGGCTAAACTCATACGGATGTGGCCACTCAGATAAATTCAGTCTCGAGAAAGATGAAGAATTGGATGCTGCTGACTGTATGTGAAGCCAAAACCTAACAGCAAATATCTATATTCAAAGATGTTGAGCTCATACTAAGCTTCAAAACCTTGCAAGACAGTTGTCATGTTGGGCGTGTCAGAACTGGTTACAGAGCAAAGTGGAACAAAACAGCTTTTTAGGAAGTTCTCGTTACTTGTGACTTTTCTTGAATTGCACAACAGATGTTGTTGGAATCAATGTTGAATTTTCACCGAGTTCATTGAGCTAAAACTAGAAGGGTCAAGGATAAAGAATTTGTGGTTTATGATAATTTCACACAACCACACAGTCATCAGAGGTGGTGTGGTGCAGATTGACATGCTTCTTTTTTAAAACACTTGATTGTGACAGTGATTGCAAAAAACGCTGTATTTCACAATTTGGCCTGATGCGAACTGTTTAAAATTTCCTCCATGTGACACTGTACTGGTCTGCATGATGTTTGGCATCACACTAAACTAACTAATACTCAAGTTATTACATCTTCTTTTCATTAATCCAGTATTGAAATTGCAGGCTTAGTTCTTACAGATTAGAAATGTCAAACATTTAAGACTACATCTGTTGTTTCGAAACATCAAGGTACGCTGCACATTTTACAAGCTCCTCAGAATATCCCATTTTCTCAATTTAAAGTGTTTAAATGACCGTCTCTTTTCAATAGTTGCATTAAAATGAAGAGCAAAGAAAAAGGATCAAGTGGGCAAGTTATTTAAATGATTAATCATAAAACTTTTGTATTGGCCATGCATTTGCACTGAGAGATGGATATCAAGTTCGCAAGTGACAAAAGCTACTGTTTAGAGCTGATTGGAAAATTATAAGTGTTGATGTCAGCAAATGAAAAACTAGCCTACAAAAATTTTCACCAACTCTCAACCCACATGAATTTTCAGGACCTAACCTTTGTGATTAGCTCTACCAACTAACATCTTAGTTAGTAGAGCTTAAAAATGTAGTGGTCGGCCAATAATATTGGTCGATATGAGTCTTTCACAAAAACATCTGTACCATCATTGATAAATAGAGGTTGATATTTTATTTAACATAATAAAAAATGCAGAAAAGATGTGCATTTCACAGTTAACATTGAAAGTTGACTTTCTTAATTTAAAATCTATATATTTGGTTGTATTTGTGTTGTCGCAAAGGGTTTTGATAACAACATCTTGTAAATCATTGCCAATCTTTATTCAAATGTACGGAAATCAGCTGATATTACGGAAGTTTTGGGGATCGCTCCCCAAAAGTCCATATTCCTCTGTCTCTAGTCTTTAATATTTAATTCAGCCATGCATAAATCTTCAAAGAGTAAACGCAGGTATTACTTGGTTCAGTTGGAGATTATCGAACTGGTGCAACATGCTGCATGATATCACTACAATGAAGAGGCAGTGGATCTAATAAATGTTTAAAAGCTTTCAAAACGACAGTTGATCTCAAGCTCAAGTTTAATGACAAGAATCACAATCAAATCACCACTAACTGTTCTCACTTATGATTAACAAAAACAGCTTGTTATGTAATTCAATACTTAAGATAAACATGAATTTTAGGCCTTACTAGACTAAAACCCACTGACAAACACAATATAACAAATGTCTCTGGTGCTCAACAGGCAGTTATTTTACACGTTATTCATCATGCAGCTGGCCTAGAGACATTTCAAACAGACGTGCATTCCCATACACTCTGTCATCATCCTCACCCCTGTTGTCTCACTCCACATTACCGCCCTCACTCCTGCTTCTGGTGCTGTATGCCACCCTGCCTCTTATGGTCCTCTCAGCAGACTTCCAGCCCTGCAGCACGGGGACACAAATCACTAGCTGTCCACTGGCACCACAGGCCACAGAGCTAAAACTGATGAGATGTCAGGCTCTGCTTAAACAAGAGCATGTTAATGTATCAGTCTGTGTGTAAAGAGCAGGGCAGAGGCGCTGTAGGCCAGGCGAGGATCAAGGTCCTTATTTATAAAAGCTTTGAAGGAATATACTGTGGCCATGCTTATGGACATAAATCAAGCAAAAGCATGTATGCCCACATATGCACTGTATAAAAATAAAAGAATAAAACATACACTCAATTCTCATTAGACTAGTAACATGAACATATTGCTTGTTTTGTATGAACAGTTAAAGATCTATAGACTTTATATAAAAATGGATGACACATCTCAACTTGCTGCCTTAGCTGTCAGTTTAGTCCCTGTCCCATCCACTAACCTGGAGGTAGTAAAGTTTGTCATCTATACAACAGCCAGCTAACAGGGGGCAATCCAGACACTTTGGCTTCACTTGACAAATATCAATATATCAAATATTGAATATAAAATTAGCTCCAGATTATTATTTTTCTATTTGACTATCATATCTATTTGACAATCATACTGGGTGCTGCAACATCCTGTCTGACAGAACCCTCAGGTACCTGGACCCATTGGCCTGCTGTAAACACCTACATCCTGGCAGTGACACACCAGATGCTATTTGGGGGCTAATGATGCTGCGTCTTTCAGGAAGCAAACTGTGTAATGGATGTCTACGCGAGCTGTGACCCATTATTTTCCATCTTGTGGTCCTGAAGGACTCTTCCCAACACTTTCTTCCTGATCCTGTTTCACTGAAGGATCATTACAGGGGGGATGAGAGGAGCCAGTGCAGAGATTACAGCCCTTTCAGAGACGACTGTTTACAGCAGTGAGGGAGGGAGAAACGCTTTAGTGCTACACAACTCTTAATGGAGTAGTTCAACATTTTCAGAAATATGCTTCATTACTAGCTTTCTGACACTGAAATGAGAAAATCGATAACAGTCTCTTGTGTGTTTGCTAAACCTGCAACAACTGATTGTTCTTGCAAATTGGAGGCAGTGGAAATGAGCTGTAAACATTTTATTAACATCACTTGAGAACAGCTGCTTGACTACACATCCAACAGATATGGATAATATCAGCTGATTCACATAACCGTAGAGTTGAGGGCTGCAAAATCAAAACTTGAGTCAAGTAATTCAAATCGATATCAGGATCTGCACCACATTTCACCTGTTCATAGATATTACTCTAAATATGTCTGATTTCCATAATAATCTCTGCATTATTTCTTGAGAAAGTCACAATAATACGTAAAAACACCACATATCGCAAAGTTAAAAAGGAACCACCTCCGTAATCGAATCCACTGCAAAAGTCAGACAGCATAACATCCTTGGCGGAGGTAACAACAGGCTACAAGGAAAGAAAATGTGTTCAAAATAATAGCAGTCCAACATCACTAACCAGATCAATCACTGTTTTCGTGTGTGTGTGTATATATATATATATATATATATATATATACACACAAACTATTGATTAAACCAACTTTAACATTGACAACTAGAATAGCACTCATGCAGTAGAGATCATACCTCTTCTATATTGAACAATGTTAATGAAAAGTGGAAAAAAACAAAATTAAATGAATTCTTCCCTGACACTGCATCTTTCCCTCAAGTTTCATATTAATCTATCCTGGGGTTTTTGTGCAAACCTGCAATGTGAAAACACTGTGGTGCAGTAAAGATGATCTTCAGGAACATACAGGAAGTTATCATCTCACTCAACATTTGCTCCATAATGAGCTCGCAGTAAATGAGTTTGCATAATTCTTTTGCCTGGATTTACCTTCTGGAAACATACAAGCCGTCCTGAGAGGAAGATCGGCTGACACTAATCAGGGCTGGAAACAGTCTCCTTCCATTAAACTGACGCATTCCTTTCAAATGAGAAGCAG